CACGCTCCCATGGTAGCAAAATTTCCGGATGACAAAAAATCAAAAATTCACTTAAAAAGTGAATTCGCACTGTTTCAAACTTAGTCGATCTTGTTCAATTTCATTTATTTTATCAAATGTTGGCGAAATTTTCTGGTGTTGAATCCGAAAGGACCGTATTTAAGCTTAGAAAAAGAAAAAGAAATTTTTGTGTTGTGTTTGCTTACTCCATAAATTAGGAAGTTTCATGTCGCAGTCGTGTAACGGCGGCTAAGAAATGTACAAAAAAGCGTGATGCACGTCCAAAGTTGTTGTTTTGCTAATATAAACTGATTGCTTTTTAACTGTTCTCGTTGCCGTCGCCGTCGTCGTTGCTTAAACTCCCTATTGTTGTGATCCAGAAATTTTGCTACCATGGTAACATGACGTCACACGCCTTCTCTCTATTGTGTTATTGTGTAAGGGCTAGGGATCATTGTTGTGTTCTTTATGACGTCACTTGAGCTCTAGGCTATGAAAGCCGGCAAGCATCAAAGTTGAAAATAACGGTGCAGAAGTTTATGTTGAAAGCTCCCTGAACGCGCACAATCCTTTGTTTTTTGTTCACAAATTGTGACTGAATAAATTAATGCAATGTTTCTATCAGTCAGTAAGATCAAAGTGATAGGAATTCTATTGAGCATTGTACACCTTCAGGTCAACAAAAGCTAACAAAAAGATATAACAAAGGAGTCTCACGGGTTTTATAGCCATTCCACTTTAATAACTATGGTTTAGATTAGAAGAGGAGACAACTGGAAAGAAAAGACTCAATTTAATCATTATAATACTTTTATTAAACAAACTTTAAAAATGTTGTTTGAGCAATTATGGAGATGAAGATGTTTCAGATTTTAATACAACGCTTTTCATAATATGTACTTTTTGCGGATAAAAAGATTTGTACAAAATTACATTATTTCATTAAGTCAAAAGTAAATTACAGCTTACATGTTATGTGTATCAATTTTGTTCTATACAGCTACACATTAACATTAGCCTGGGAGCGGCCTCATAATCTATTCAGCTTCTGAGGTTGAATACATGAACATGATGTCTTTCAATTCTGAAAGAGAGATGAAGAAACAATAATTAGTTGAAAGTAGGGCTTCAATTTAAAGATAAGTAAGGCCAGTAAGCATTTGTTGCAAGTATTGCAGCCCAGGGGCAATGGGGGTGGAATTCTCCTTATAACAACCTTTACGGGGAGGCTCCACCCAAAAGGAGTAACTTTTTCAGGCTTCAGGTAAATGAAAAGGGTCAGGTAGTTGAAGTTTATGTAAGGTTTTAATGTTCTCGAGAGAACCACAATTTAGTTTTCCTCCATAAATAAATACTTAATGGGCAAGTGAAGTTCTAAAGAATATACAGGAAAATGGGGAATAACATATATTTACCTACTGCTTGATATTCCTTAACTGCAATCTAACTCATCAGGGTGTCCTTTTCTGTGTTTGCCCTTCTTATTTCCCCATTTATCAACACACCAACACTTCGTCCTGTGTCGATTACATTGCATTGGCTTAAAGTAGCCATGCCTATTGCATTGAGGAATGTACTTGTTATGGTACAAACTAGGCAACAAAATATTTAATACATGGGTTTGCTGAAATGCTTTTGAAGCTTGGATGCAGGGTCCTTGTAGTTGTTGCTGATCACCAATAGAAGACTGATGTGCACTGTGTCCTGGAAGAATGAAATCAAAACCATTTCATTTAGAGGCAAATAATTGTGAATAATGGTAAAACGACTGAGCGGATTCCAATTTGGTCTGTAAACATACAAGTGATAACAAAATCAGACATCCACATAAGGAAGGGTCTGATTTGTTTAATCACGAGTATGATTACAGACCAAACTGGATGGCAAAAAGTTCTGTTGCCAATATTATTAATCATAACTATGACAAAATTTGTGATATTTTAGGCTTTCTTAAAAAATAAGAAACAAGAAATTTCAAGAGTTTTTTTGCTAGCAGTAAAAAAAAGCCATTTAAGTATGCACATACACACTGTCCATCATTACTTAGGCATGAAACATACTGTCCGATTACACTGGCCTATAAGTGCTGAAATCAGATTTGAGAATTTTGTTATCTTGTCACTGGAATGGGAGAAACTTTATTTTTGCCTATTTTTGATCAACATCTTCTCTCCAGCAACATTATAGATACATATATTCCTAATGAGACACCACTGGATTTTCTTATTCTAAATTATTTTTCCTTCAAAAAGTGTTCGTCATAACTCACCATGAGTACCTAAACATTTTTTCTCACATTCATGCTTGCTTCCAAAGTTGTTCTTATTTCCACGACAGCCTCCATAGATGAATTTTGTGCAATTATTCCATGTTTTATTGAAATACCATCTTGGCATATAAGCCATACAGGAACCAGGCTTAACTTTTAGGTTGCAGTCAGCAACTGTGAAGAAAAAAAGAGGCAACCAATGTTACATTTTACATTACATTTCCCGCGTACAGCCTACCCATCACATTTGAGGATTATTGGCTGGGTTGGTCAGCATAAAAAAAAAAGTTTACTTAATAGGCTAATAAACAGGTAGATAATTTAGGCAGCTCACATGGGCTTTAAAAGTATCTAAAGAGCAGTGTTCGCTGAAGACAGAAGCAGGCAAATTGTTCCACTGAATAATTGTTCTTGAAAAAAAAAGGATAGATACTCAGAGGACTGGCTAGTTTGAAGCGGGATGAAACTTTCTTAGTGCGAGAGGCGTGTCCTGCGCATGACTTTCTAGGGCATTAGCCTTCTTTTATGCCTTACAGTCACACCAGGTCAAGTTTACCCACAAGATTCTATTATTGAATCACTTATTTGAAAAATGAATCTATTAGTTGATACCGCAACCAGTATCAAATTCAAATCTGCATTCCTGCATACTTAGCTATGAAGACTTCTATGTATTCGCTCAGATTGAAAAATCTTAGAATGAATTATTGCTTTGAAGACATTTACAAAAAATTCAAGAAAACTGAGTGGCTAGAAATTTCATTACTACCTTGCGTGTGAATTCACTTCTCATTACGCATGCAGGAATGCAGAGATGAATCTGAAATCTAAAACTACCAACCAATTTAACTTTTGAATAATAAATTCATAAACAGAATCAAGGAGGGTACGCTTGACCTGGCTTGACTGTAAGCAGCGTGCAAAGAAAGTAGTGTCCGATAGCCCAGGGCTGGTGGATTTTGCTATTGGGGTAGTGGATTCAATTCTTAAATTGCCTGACAGGCAAGCAAATTACAGAGGAATGGTACTCAATCCTGCTCATCAAACTACATGGTACATCAAACTACTACATGGTAGCTACAGCTTGCCCAAATAGTCTGGCCTCGGTCAGCGGATCTAAAATACGGGTCACTTTTCCACAGGTCAGGGTACAGGTCACCATGATACAGGTAAATGAATAGCATTAAAAGTGTCTCCTAGCCCTAATCTCTTAACAAAATGCTCTGTTAGTGTCTAGTTTGGTAATTTACTGATGGAGCAGTGACCTGTACTCCTGACGTGTGGAATGTGACCTGTATTTTAGACCTGGCAAACCGTTCTTGATGCTTCAGTTACGTTTTTTGCCTGAATTTTTCTATGTTGGTGGTTAAGAACAAAAGCATTTCCCTCCTCTGGGAACGAAACTCTATTTTCATGTAAATTCTTCCAGAAAATATTCATTGTATTGACCCCCAAGATGGCCGCCTTGTCACATGGTGGCAAATCAAGAATTCGCTTAAAACGGGGCTCAAATAAACAAACGCCTCCTCTTAACTGGCCATTCACCTCGTTCCCTTCTTCCTTGTCATTTGATCTCCTTGATTCGGCGGGCAAACATATTCAGCTTAATAAAAAAATGTAACATAGGAAATGTTTTGTACTAAGTTGACATATCCCTGAATCTGGTCCAACCCCGCTAAAGATATGTTGTCCAACAGGTCAGAAGATTAACCGATTAACACGCTATAGGCTTCGGAGGATTCCTTGTGTACAAGTAAGTCTTCAGCGGGAATTTACCTGAAAAACTGTCATCTTCGTCATCGTCCAGGTCATCGTCTTTGTCGTCTTCGTCGCTGTTAACGCCGTGTATCTTCACATACACACACAAAGAGAAGACGGGTTAGCACAATTTATCTAGATTACAAGAGAAATTGAATGTACAAATAAACCTAGAATGAACTTACGATTAGAAGGAGGAACAGAAAAACGAAATAACTGGTCGCCATTGTCTTTGTTGTTAAATGTTGCCGAAAGAGAGCGTCCTTCGCCGTTTTTAAGCGCGACATCGTGACGTCATCCAACCTCCGGAAGATTCGCCGGAAATGCCATTTTTACGCCCAACGTCAGGTCATGTCACTTACTTTTTTTGTACCCATCGCATTCTTTAAAAACCGCAGTTTGAAGGTGCACCCACATATAGGCTTAAACTCTAACCTGGAAGTCAGAGCAAATATTCTAGCAAGACTGTGCGTGACTTTGGTCAACTAACCGTGGGCTATTTTCAATTTAAAAATTATTACACCCTCGGTCAGAGGAGTTTACCAATGTGAAATGACTGAAATGAAGCGAGTTGAAACCTTTTTTTCCGAAAATACACATCAAGAGGGCAGGTCTGTCAAGAGGGCAATTTTCCGATTTTCCCGTCTTGAACCTCTTTGAGCTTTGAGCTCTTTGAGAGGATACTTAATACACTGACCAAATGAATAGCAATTCTTCAGAAAAATATATATGAAAAAGAAACAAATGCCCTCTTCGCGTGGGTTGTAACCGCAAGTTTACATTGGACGTAGGTAAGAGTTTATATGATGTTTGTAAACATCCTCTGGTTCAACAGTGTGGTAATATGCAAGATGTGGCCTGAACAAAAAAACGAAACGTCCATAGACTACTAGAAAAGCTGATCATATAAAGCTAACAACGAGTCTTGCGTTTTATAACAATAATTCGGCTGGCCATACCATCTGTAAACCTGAAGAAGGCTGGTATGACCAGCCGAAATATTGTTATAAAAAAGCAAGTCGAGTTGTTGTGATCAGTTTTGCACTGGTCTTTGGACTTCTCGTGTTTTTGTTCTTTAAATATTTTAGTTGATTAGATCTCTTTTATAAAGATCCAACGTCGACAATCAGCAGGATCTTCGCCCACGGTTTTTGCAGTTATTTTCTTTATCACATGTAGCATGCCTGGCTCCTCCCCTGCTCCTTTCAACACCCATCACGCACTGTTGTCTCGATCGGAGGATTTTATACCGCGATAAAAACCTCATAGAATGACAGAAAGTAACACCAGGCCCCAGTCGTTTGAAAGGTGGATATTGCTATCGTGGACAATGCAATTGTTTTTTTCTAATATTTATCCGCTGGATAGTGGCACTATCCAACGTTTGAAGGACCAGATGACATTATTGGTACGTTATTGAGGAATTCTAAATGGTCAGGAGCGTAGCGTCCATATACGCACATACGCCGAGGCGTACATGTACCGGCTAAAACTTGAAAAAAAAATTTTACTCTCTTAAAAAAGCATTTTTTAAATCATTAAATCGGGATGACTGAAAAGTTTTTCGCACTTTATTGGTGTCTTTGTGTTAGCATTTCCTTTATCCTTTTATTATTCCGTAATTCTGATTGCGTCATTGGACTTTTTTTCGTAAAAACTGTACCTTATCGACAACACTAGCGAGAAGTGAAAAAACCAACTAACTACTGCGTTTTCCTGCTTATTCATTTCCTGAAAATATCCTGCGGAAAACGCTGGAAATGGCAGTTCCAAATTTAAGACCCAGACTCCCTAGGTTGGGCCGCCTACAAAACAACTTTTCTTCCCCGCGTGCGTTTGTTTTTTCAGAGTTTCTCGTCAACGATCTACAGGATTTTTATTATTAAAAGGTGCATTTAGTCTATCTGTGTAGAGGTTCAACCACAGCTGATATTTATACACATTCAAAGACCCTTATACCTGGAAAGTGCTAAAATTCATAGATTTAATACAGGGATATGAATAAAACACTGAGGACTACATCAATACAAACTTCAACTATATTTATTTGGCTTTATCAACAGCCATGCAAATTAAACTGCCAGGATATTATAGGCTACACCTCCCGTAAGCAAGAAATCCACTATCACACAATATCATCTCCCCTGTTTTTCTTTTCACTGGGAGCATTGTTTAGTGATTGCAAAATTATAGAAATGGCTATAGAAACTTTCTTAACTTCTCTATTATATGTTTGGATGATTAAAGGTAAAACGGGAAAAAAAGAGTTAATCAATTCTTCTCTGTAATTAATTCTTGCCATTTCAAAGCTCAGGGCGTTTCTTCTTGTTCCTCCTCTCTGGCTGGAGGGTCTGTATTATCCACTGCAGAAAAAAAACGTGACAATATATTGGCTTTTAATTAACAACTAATTAACAATTGGTTCATGCATCAACGCGCATATGTTGAGATATGAAGGACGTGGGAAGTTTGGAGAGCACTCTAGAGGCTAGAAACCCACATATAGGCTTAAACTCTAACCTGGAAGTCAGAGCAAATATTCTAGCAAGACTGTGCGTGACTTTGGTCAACTAACCGTGGGCTATTTTAAATTTCAAAATTATTACACCCTCGGTCAGAGGAGTTAACCAATGTGAAATGACTGAAATGAAGCATGTTGAAACCCTTTTTTCCGAAAATACACATCAAGAGGGCAGGTCTGTCAAGAGGGTAATTTTCCGATTTTCCCGTCTTGAACCTCTTTGAGCTTTGAGCTCTTTGAGAGGATACTTAATACACTGACCAAATGAATAGCATTCTTCAGAAAAATATATATGAAAAAGAAACAAATGCCCTCTTTGCGTGGGTTGTAACCACAAGTTTACGTTGGACGTAGGTAAGAGTTTGTATGATATTTGTAAACATCCTCTGGTTCAACAGTGTGGTAATATGTCAGATGTGGCCTGAACAAAAAAACGAAAGTCCATAGACTACTAGAAAAGCTGATCATAACAAGCTAACAACGAGTTTTGCGTTTTATAACAATAATTCGGCTGGCCATGCCATCTGTAACCCTAAGGAAGGCTGGTATGGCCAGCCGAAATATTAATATAAAAAAGCAATACACGCTGTTACGATCAGCTTTGCAGTAGTCTTTGGACTTCTCGTATTTTGTTCTCAATAGTTTAGCTGATTAGATCTCTTTCTAAAGATCCAACGTCGACAACCAGCAGGATCCTCGTCCCCGGTTTTTGCAGTTATTTTCTTTATCACATGTAGCCTGCCCGGCCCCTCCCCCGCTCCTTTCAACGCCCACCACGCACTGTAGTGTCGATCAGAGGATCATATACCGTGATAAAAACAGTCGTTCTAAAGGTGAATGACGCTATCGTGGACAATGCAATTGTTTTTCTTAATATTTATTCGCTGGATAGTGGCGCTATCCAACGTTTGAAGGACCAGATGACATTATTTGTACGCTATTGAGAAATTCTAAATGGTCCAGGAGCATAGCGCCCATATACGCACATACGCACGGGCGTACATGTACCGTCTAAAACATGAAAGAAAAAAAATTATACATTCTGAAAAAGCATTTTTTTAGTCGTTAAATCGGGATGACTGAAAAATTTTTCGCACTATATTGATGTCTTTGTGTTAGCCTTTCCCTTATTCTTTTATTATTCCATAATTATGATTGCGCCACTAGCCTTTGTTTTTTCGTAAAAACTGTACCTTACCGACAACACTAGAGATAAGTAAAATAACCAAGTAACTACTGCGTTTTCCCGCTGGAAATAGCCTGCGTGGCAGGCGTTAAAAGGGGAATGGGAAGGGGAATTTGGGCGCGCGAGGGAGAAAGGAAAGGAACGCGTTCCCCTCCTCTCTCCTCCCTCGCACGTGGTTTCGCGCCAAGGCTACGCTGGAAATAGTCTCCGTCGCAGCCGTGTTTTGGATGTCACGCAACGCACATCCAGAAAACGGCTTCGAGGGAGACTACGCTGGAAATGGCATTTCCGAAGTTAAGATCCAGATTCCCTAGGTTGGGCCGCCTTTGCGCTACAACTTTTCTTTCCCGTTTCTCTTCAATGATCTACATGAGTTTTATTATCAAAAGGTGCATATAGTCTATCTGTGTAGAGGTTCAACCACAGCTGATATTTATAAACATTCAAAGACCCTTACACCTGGAAAGTGCTAAAATTCATAGATTTAATACAGGGATATGAATAAAACACTGAGGACTGCATCAATACAAACTTCAAGTATATTTATTTGGCTTTATCAACTGCCATGCAAATATTAAACTGCCAGGATATTACATAGGCTCCCCTTCCCGTCAAACATTTTCTAAGATCACTGGACACATAAAAATTGATACAAAAAAGGGAATAGTAGGTATAACAAGTAAAACAGTCAGCAAGAAATGCACTATCACACCATATCATCTCCCCTGTTTTTCTTCTCACTGAGAGCATTGTTTGGTGACTGCAAAATTACAGAAATGGCTATAGAAACTATTTTTTCTTAACTTATCTATTATATGTTCAGATGATTTAAGGTAAACGGGAAAAAAAGAGTTAATCAATTCTTCTCTGTAATTAATTCTTGCCATTTCAAAGCTCAGGGATTTTCTTCTTGTTCCTCCTCTCTGGCTGGAGGGTCTGTATTATCCACTGCAGAAAAAAAAACGTGACAATATATTGGCTTTTAATTAACAACTAATTAACAATTGGTTCATGCATCAACGCGCATATGTTGAGATATGAAGGACGTGGGAAGTTTGGAGAGCACTCTAGAGGCTAGAATTGCTCTCAAGGCAACCCTTACCCCTCTTTCGTGTTCTCCAAACTTCCCGCGTGCTTCATATCTCAACAATCACACCAACGCATGAACAAATTCTTAAGTATACTGCAACAAGCCATCACCACATGATAACCACTCCATGAGACTAGTAAAATCGCCCAGCTTTTGACAATAAATTGCCCTGTGACATTGACATCAAGCTAAGAAGCAAATATGTAAACTTTAAGGAACAGCAAGGAGAAAAATAATGCTAAAAATTTTTATTGGAAAGAAGAAAAAGAGGTTACAAAGTGTTGGAAATGGGATAACCTGAATCCCAGTAATCAATTTGTCCTAGTACAAAATAATTCCAGTTCATCAAAAAAACTTGAGCACTTGTGGTAAACTACTGTAGTACATGCAAGACCAAGTTGGCCACAATTCATCATTTTCAAACATTAGGAGTTTTAATTCAGGAAAACCAGTACTTTGCTTACCACATTCAGTTGCTCCTTCAATTTTAGATCCATGCCTGTCCACACACCAACACTCTTTGTTGCCATCTTTATCCACTGTTCTGCACTGACGCGGCAGGTAATAGCCATCCTGATCACAAGATGGAGTATAAGCCCCGGCAATTGGCTGTGGTTCTCCCCTCACAAGAAGATATGGCAAATTATTACGCAGCTTGTGGAAGCAAGGGGGCTCTGAAAGATAACAACAAGTAATTTACAGGCGAATATGAGAACTAAGGTGGTTGACCAGGTCTAGCTGAAGGGAAGAGCGTTTCAGATTTCCTTTCATCTTGATTAGCAAATTGACAATGGCATTTTTAACAGGCAAATCATGGCGATTACTCAAATCATTGTACGCAGGTGGGGGCCTAGAACGAGCATTTTGACACTGTTCCACAGAGGGACTTAACCAGAGTTAAGTTTTGTCTGCAGAACAGGCTACCTCCAAGTTAGCCTTAGAAGTCTGAGAAACTAACGCAGAAATTCCAAACTGATGGCATATGTCACTACCCAGATAGATCTGGGTAGTGCTTCTGAATGGTTGAAGCAAATTTCCCTTAATTGGCACAACTTAAATCAGAAGCACTACCCAGATCTGGATAGTGACACATCATCTGTCTGGAATTTCTGTACTTGCTTCTCAGACATCATTTTGCACGGAGATCAGTGGTGGTGTTGCAATATGTTGGCTTTTCTCTCAGTCTACCTCTAAGTCAGAGTTAATTGGTAGTTCCACACCTAAGGGTGAATAACAAATGAATCAGCTGTTGAAAGCTTATGTATTTATCTCTTCCCTGAACTCTAAGAAGAAACTGCAATGTTAATATTACAGGGAAGACTATTATGACAGTCGAACCTCCATGTAAGACCATCTCTCCTAAGCGAACATCTCCCATAAGCAACCACTTATCCAAAACAGCAGAATTTTCTCATAAGTAACCATCTCCTGTAAGCGACCACTAAGTCTTACTCTTTGCATTTTGCCTGGTGACTTACAGGAGGTTCGACTGCATAATTAAGCATAACTGTTCCAGGTTTCAGAGGAATAAGATTTACTGAAGGAAAACAATGTGGACTTGACTCCTACCAACTGATTTAAAACAGCTACAGAATTCAGGCTCTGTGAATGCTTCCTTTCCTTTGGAACATGTCTTGAAAAACTGTTTCATGCAGGGCTCAGCTTCATACAGGTCAGCCAGTTCGGTTTCATCCACTAAACCATCAGCATTATGATCAAACAACTGCCTGAACACTGTCCGGATTGGTTCTCGACAGCCTTGTTTTTTCGAGCCTGAAACAACAAAATTCAGTTGTAACAAGTTCAGACTATGCTCCCATCCCAATCTTGCCAGGATTCTCCCAATTTTGCTTGAAAATCTTGAATCACGATCAATATGCAATCAGGATAGGAAAAATCCCAATTTTGACATCTGATATTTTCAAATGAATTCTTATGATACTTATACACCAAACAGAGTACCAGAGTACACTTGCTGAAAATGATTATCCAGAAAATTTAAAAAACCCGCACAAAATATAAAAAAAATCAAGTGCTTGAACAACAAGCCATGAAAATAATAATAAGCATAAAAATGGCAATCGATTATAGCAAACATTTTAGACATAAATTGTCTTCTCAGAACACTAGAAATGACCTTTCAGAGCATAAAGATTTCAAACTTATCAGACTTCAAGTGTTGAAACATATATCATGAGTGGGCACAGCAAACAAGTGAAATGTTTTTTCAACAAAAGAAGAGAAATTTTGTAATGTAATATTCTAATCATTATTTATTATTTAAACACTAAAGAAATACCAAACCATTTCACTTTTACATTTTTTTGCTGTGAAAGGTACGATTTATTATATAGCCATGGCTTGAAATATCTTTTCACATGTGAAGATAACATGTTAATTTCACTTTTTCAAATAGATGTACAACTTAAAATGATAAAGCAAACAGGACACCGCGAGGGTATTACCACTAGATATGAGCTGAAAATTAAATGTCTCAATCTCACACCTGATGGGAAAGGCATCTTCGCCTCTTTTGGCTTCATTTGTGGAATCACCTCTCCAAGTTTGGGCAGTGGTAAACCTTTGGCAAACATTTCTTCTTTTACATGCGACGTTCGAAGAACGTGAAACCAATCCAACAGACGTCCTGGGAGCTCTGTGCAGTTTTCTGTTTTGTTAAAGGAGATTGAACCATTACTTAAGCTTTTACCAAGTTCAGAACCAGCATGTCATGCAAGCTGTCCATGAACTGTAAAGAATGGCTAGCATTTCTTATTAAAGTCAAGTCTAGTAATGTAGCATACGGCTTTTAAAACACCCCATCGGTTGCTGCCGGTGGATTCAATTTATTCGCACTCGTAAGGTCTCATATCTCAATTCTCTGTTTGTATACTGTTTAGGACTAGTAAACAAGCAAATGGTGTTTAAACCAAAAATATAGTTTGAATGATGAAGTTGATAAAAGAACTATACGCCGCCACAAAGAGATTGAACTGTATAATGCACTAGTCAGTGGAAAGCCCTGCACCCCCACACCTGGGAAATGTGGGGCATTAGCAAGAGATTTCAGCATTTTTAGACTATTGCTTTTAACACAGTATGCAAGGATTTAGACAGTAACAGACGCAAGTATCAGTGAGCAGGAACCATCAGCGAGGAACAAAAATGACATTTTGATAGGCAAAATTGCTCTGCATAATAGGGAATTTGGTTCATTTAGAAAGCAGCACCGGTCTACAGCCCCACAATTCTCAGGGTTAATGGGGGTGTGGCTTTTTCCACTGACTATAGTGCCTTTTCAGAAGAGGTATTCTGACTATCATCCATCCTTAAAATACACTACAAACCAACTTACTATTTTCTTTTGGCTGCTTTGTTAGATTTTTCTTAGAATGGTGCCAATGCCTCCACTTCAGCCCGTTGTGCTTTCCCTGGTTTTGAAGAAAAGAAAACAATAATGACACCAGTGGCAGATCTCAGTGACAAGCGTCCAGCTCTCCCTCCCTTGTTTTAAGTTCAAAAGCACCATGATAATGTTCATTTTTGCAGGGGAACCAAACTTCCCCATCCCCCCACCCATCCTTGGGGACCAATTTTATCTAGAGGGCCTAGACACAATATGTTTTTGAAATTATGATGACCCAAAGAGTGTAAATGAAAAAGAAAAAAGTCAGTGGTATATTGTTCAAACTTCTCCTGCCATACCCCAAACTGAAAGAGCAAGTCAGCAAATTACAAGAAAGCAACAACTGCCTAAACATTGGTCACCTCCAGATTAGTAAACCTCCACAATTTTGCCTTGCAACGGGCGGGAGACAGAGCTAGGGGTTTTAAAAATGAACTACGCTTTGTGTGCAAATGGTTGCGCTACCCAGGGCACAAGAGCGACTTCAAAACAGACAGTACTTTGGTGACTGAAACAATAAACAGACAGTATAATACATAAGAAGTACCGGTATGTAAGCTTACATACCATGATGTGAAAGTTATGGTTTGCCAGACATTATAAATGAAAATTAAGCTTAAAAACAAAATGCGAAGAATCCTTGCCGGGGCATAGTTTAAGGCTTGCAAGCTTCCTCGAAACCGACCGGACATGCAGTCGAATTGTGCTGAAAGTACAGACGAAAAATTGGAGAAAGAAAGCTTATGAGAAATTTTACTTTATTTAGACTAACCCAAAGTCGTACAGAAAGCGATCAAACTAAACTTCACAATCTCAAAACAGTGTAAAAAATATTTGTCTTTTACGCAATCACGCGCTGAAGACATGGAACAACAAAAGTCTCATTCATTCTTTTGGGAGATAAATCCCTATTCACCTTATACACCTAAAATTTAAACTCGCGGTAAAAAATCGAAGTTTGTTGGTAGAAAATCAGAAAACACTATCAAAAATCAAATCCATTCGAAACACAGTGAACCTTTCATTCATACCAAACAGCAACTCTCACCTTTTTCGCATGGACCATTAATACTGCCAAGCAACAAAGAGCTAGAATCCAAATTGCTCTCATTTTGGCTGGTTCAAAAACGTGCCTTTACCCTGTAAACTGAGGCCAATTATAATTACGAGCTCGCCAGAAATTCAGAAGAAACTCTAGGCGAAAAACAAATTGACTTCTCCGCCAGACAATCTCTCGCTGTCTGTCACTGCTTTGTAACGTAAGAACCGCTTGGTATTTTCAGCAGTGCCACCCGATTGGTTGTTCAGTGAAAGAAGATTTTTCCCACCTAGGCGGCACCGGAAATTTGGCATTTCTCCACATTTCTGAGGTTTATCCATGAATACATGTACAGTATGCTTCAAAAACTTGTGAAAACAATCTTGTCGAAGAGGAACGTGTAGCAAGCTTAACGGTCGTGGTAATATTTTAGCATCTATTTTTGAACGAGCACTAGCAACGTGTTCAATACTTTTCGTCTACTCAAGTTTCAATTCTTTTCCCCTGCGGGTGTCAAACCTCCCCAGGGGATATCGAAAGTTTGAAAGCTGGTGTCAGACATTTTTTCGAACAATTGCCGGGAAAATGTCCTATTTTGCTCGCAGGTCTTGTGCTTATGCGTTCACATCCTAAATTTTGGCTATTTGTAGTTCTTGAATTATTTCACTGACTTATGCGTCAAAAAAAAAAAGTTTTTTAGATAAACGACCCACATGCACAACACTCAAAATCGAACGAATGAGAAGCGAAAAAGGCGGCAAATAATGACAAAAATACAAATGAATGCTGGGTAATCTGTGCCGTAGTATTTCAGCGGTCTTACTCTGAAGGGGATTGAAACATGGCGTCTTTCTTTGTAGAGAGACTGTTGTGGTTGTAAATCTTTCATTTCCGTAGTAAGATCTTCCTTATTTAATGGGATTGCTGGTGCAACCTAAAGAAAATGTGTCGTAACTGTGCTTTACCTGAATGGGGGGAACCTGTGAAAATCCCAGTCGCAGAACTGCCAGCGTTTTTCTCCAAGCAGATCAGCTGGAATTTCGAGCGCCTAAACTACGGTGGAGGGGCAGTCATTGAAACCATTTCAGGTCGACCAGAGCGCCCATCGGTGACTGGGAGGCTTGGCTGTAGGCTAAGGGAAGGTATGCAACCGCCAGCTAGAGGCAAACGAACGGAGAGGTACCTACTTGTCAGCGAATGTTTGTATTGCCCAGGGAAACGGTATGGATGTACCCCTCGAGCCAACTGTACTGGGAAGCGGCGGAACTGCTATGCAATGTGCAAAGTGACGGTGTACGCTGATGCGTCTGATCTGGCAGAAGTTTCCTTCTCGGGCAGCCACGGAAGTGGTAATGTTACCGATCCATCTTTACACAGAGCTCCTCATGAAGGAAAACGGAGAAGATTGGATGATGATAATGATCAAACACAGGTTGGCAAATAGAAAAAAAATCTTAAAATGAAAATCTTAATATTACAATACGTTTCATTTGATCACCTGAACACTAGAGCAATAGTGATCTCCGGTAGATTTAATAAAATATCAATTATTCATATTTAAGTTTTTACTGAGAGCCAGTAAATAATCTAATTACATTGTCATAATAAAATTATTATAAGTAAGCTTATGTGCAAATCTGGAGCAACTTCAGAATATCTGGGGGAGGGGGTATCGGATAAGTTGGTCTGCCCAGAAAATGGGCAAATGTGACTTGAATGAAGAATAAATTGAAAGTAAGCAAAATGCTAAAAAATTTCATATTATTTATTAAGAGTCATTTCATCACAGGGGCTTGAAATACCTGTCTCAAGAAGATTTTTACTCTGACATCTTCCAATTCAACATTCTCCTCAGGCTTATCATTTATTCCACCGTTTTTATTGTGGATAACTTTCCCCAGTCTGGAAATGTTGAGTATGATCACCTCTATATCTGCCTTATGTGAAGCCGGTTGACAAACAGGCCAGTGTTTCCTGAAGGTCATCAATATTGTTTTGGTTCAAAATTTGAGGATTGATATTCTTGCTCTCTAATCCCTGTGCTTGCAGAGTACCATGGTTGAGAAACAGAGTACTGTCAGAAGTGATAGTAGATTTAGTTTTGATGTTTTTGGATTTCTTCCCTGATAAGATGACTGAACTGTCAATGTTTATTCCAAGTAATCTCATACAGTATTCGCTTAAGGACTGAAAAGCGCCCATCCATTTCTTTAAATCATATTGTAGAGGATATTTGTCAGGATTCTCTTCAATAAAAAGATCTACAGTGTATTCATGGTTATTTCAACAGAACTCAAATCACTCTGACTGTCTGTCCCATGACAACATGCTATAGTTAGACTATAGTGCTGTTACAGTGTTATAGTGCTGTAATTTGTTTCTTGATGGAAAAGATTGATCCATTAAGCATGAGTTTTGGTCTCATGTCTACTTATAGATACTTATTTTGTTAGCTGGCTGTCTGCGAACTTTCAGCCGATTGTTGTCTGACAGTTACAACAATGGTAGTAAACCATTTTGCAATAGTTGATCAATAGTCAGCTGACAAGGTTTTGTGGGGCTGTTCTTCACAAATACCTGCATCAGAAGGCTCTATAAAATGAGCCTTTACACAACAGGTACCTTTGTTATTCTCTGTTCTCTACCTTTGTTACCACAAAATCCCATGTTAAAGCCCCCCCCCCCCTCCCCCGTTTTTCCGTTTATAAGCCCATCTAGTGTTTAGGGGCGTTCCTTTTGCATTTCTTTACAAACATCAGAATATTTTACCTAAAGTTATATGCATGAACAAGTGGCTGTAGAACGATAATATATTAATACCAAGGAAAGAAACAAATGTTCATGCATATGTAATAATGAAACTTAATGTATTATCAAATGTAACTCTAAATGTAATGGAGTGTTTGTTTCTCAGATACGTTTTATCTCGTTGTTCGGAAACATTTTTTTTAATCCCACTTATATGCGTCCCCCCAACCCCCCCAAACCAGATATAAGCCCACCCAAAACCCCTCTTGAAGAACTTTATATACCTTTAATGTGGGAATTTAAGGCATTCTATTAGTTTCCAGGTATTCTGAAGTTTGGCTGAAAAATCAATAAACTAATGAGTGATTTAGTATAAATATCCATAATACTGCTTTTTTATTAGCTCTATCCCATTTAAATGATCAGACTTCAGGATTTCTTCACTTATTATCTGGCTTTGATCTTTTGATCTGTTTCTGGCATGAGACAAATAAAATAGCAGCTTAAAAATTAAGAACAATAGACTTTTACTGTTAGCTAGCATGACCTGCATATTTATATGGTAGATAAGGTGTTTGACTTTTCAAACATGCTCTAGTCATTGGTTGCAAGTGTGACTCGCATGTATGAATAATCCGGGAACTTGTATTCCATTTTCTTTCTGTAATGTGCTGCCTCCTTATACCGTGTATGAGAGTGTAAGTTTTAAAAGAAATCCTGACCTTAACCCTGTAAACCCCAATATCCACATACAAATTCTCTAAACTGAAATATTTAAGTTTTTACTGAGAGCCAGTAAATAATCTAATTACATTGTCATAATAAAATTATTATAAGTAAGCTTATGTGCAAATCTGGAGCAACTTCAGAATATCTGAGGGAGGGGGTATCGGATAAGTTGGTCTGCCCAGAAAATGGGCAAATGTGACTTGAATGAAGAATAAACTGAAAGTAAGCAAAATGCTAAAAAATTTCATATTATGTATTTAGAGTCATTTCATCACAGGGGCTTGAAATACCTGTCTCAAGAAGATTTTTACTCTGACATCTTCCAATTCAACATTCTCCTCAGGCTTATCATTTATTCCACCATTTTTATCGTGGATAACTTTCCCCAGTCTGGAAATGTTGTGTATGATCACCTCTATATCTGCCTTATGTGAAGCCGGTTGACAAACAGGCCAGTGTTTCCTGAAGGTCATCAATATTGTTTTGGTTCAAAATTTGAGGATTGATATTCTTGCTCTCCAATCCCTGTGCTTGCAGAGTACCACGGTTGAGAAATAGAGTACTGTCAGTAATGATAGTAGATTTAGTTTTGATGTTTTTGGATTTCTCCCCTGATGAGATGACTGAACTGTCAATGTTTATTCCAAGTAATCTCATACAGTATTCACTTAAGGACTGAAAAGTGCCCATCCATTTCTTTAAATCATATTGTAGAGGATATTTCTCAGGATTCTCTTCAATAAAAAGAGCTACAGTGTATTCATGGTTATTTCAACAGAGCTCAAATCACTCTGACTGTCTGTCCCATGACAACATGCTACAGTTAGACTATAGTGCTGTTACTTTGTTTCTTGATGGAAATGATTGATCCATTAAGAATGAGTTTTGGTCTCATATCTACTTATAGATACTTATTTTGTTAGCCAGCTGTCTGCCAACTTTCAGGCAATTGTTGTTTGACAGTTACAAAAATGGTAGTAAACCATTTTGCAGTAGATGATCGATAGTTAGCTGACAAGGTTTTGTGGAGCTGTTCTTCACAAATACCTGCATCAGAAATCAGAGTGCTCTATAAAATGAGCTTTAACACAACAGGTACCTTTGTTATTCTCTGTTCTTTACCTTTGTTACCACAAAATCCCATGTTAAAGCCCCCCCCCCTCCCCTCCTGTTTATAAGCCCATCTAGTGTTTAAGTGCGTTCCTTTTGTGTTTCTTTACAAACATCAAAATTTTTAATCTAAAGTTATAGGCATGAAATAATAATGTATTGTTACCAAAGAAAGAAACAAATGTTCATGCATATATAACAACGCTACGAGTTCCATTCCATCGTTCATCTCCAAATTGTTAACGTTAAGGCTTGTAGTTTTTTGACTTTTGTTCTCTTCCATTCCAGTGTTTTATAGATGTTTTTGAAATACATTCTCCATTTATTGTGATGCATAATGAAATTTAATGTATTATCAAATGTAACTCTAAATGTAATGGTGTGTTTGTTTTAATTCGTTTCTCAGATACGTTTCATCTTGTTGTTCTTAAACATTTTTTTTAATTCCACTTATATGCCCTCCGCCCCAACCAGATATAAGCCCCGCCGTTTATAAGCCCACCCAAACCCCTCTTGAAGAACTTTATATAGCTTTAATGTGGGAATTTAAGGTATCCTCTTAGTTTCCAAGTATTCTGAAGTTTGGCTGAAAAATCAATAAACTAATGAGTGATTTATTATAAATATCCACAATACTGCTTTTTTATTAGCTCTATCCCATTTAAATGATCAGACTATGGGATTTCTTCGCTTATTTTCTGGCTTTGATCTTTTGATCTGTTTCTGGCAGGAGAGAAATAAAATGGCAGCTTAAAGATTGAGAACAATAGACTTTTACCCTTAGCTAGCATGACCTGCATATTGATACGGTAGATGAAGTGTTTGATTTTTCAAACATGCTGTAGTCATGGGTTGCAAGTGTGACTCGCATGTATGAATAATACTGGAACTTGTATTCCATTTTCTTTCTGTAATGTGCTGCCTCCTTATACCGTGTATGAGAGTGTAAGTTTTAAAAGAAATCCTGACCTTAACCCTGTAAACCCCAATATCCACATACAAATTCTCTAAACTGATCTCTATACATTTCCCTTAAGAATTAGTTAAGAGAATTTGATCAAAGTTCAAAGTATTTTCTCTTAGGTGATCATTTTATTAATTCTCATAACCTCATCTCATGACAATGTATGGATATCGTTAGGAGAAAATTGCTGTTGGTCACTATTGGGACTTAAAGGGTTATCCGTTATTTCTTTAGAGGTGGAAACAAACTGATCGACCAACTATGGTAGAGTCTCTTAGCTCTGATGGGATTGGCCTTGATCGCTCAAGCACAGAGGTAGTCACATTAGAAGTTGGCCAGAACATCATGCTGACTGGAAGTAATGTGGAATTGCTAAACACACATCGCTCTTCAAACTCACCAGATGTTGTGCTCTGGACAACATCCTCTGGAGAACAAGTCAGTACTTTTCAAACCAGCAACGGCACCGCCGGAAGCAGACCTACAACCCCTAGTACACCTCTAAATACACCTTTGTCATCAGCAGCAGTAACACCACAGTCTACTGTTCAGAGTGGTTTACGAGGGGCACAGGCCCGGCAGCCTTATACACCTCCAGGTAGATCTCCTCCTGCATTGGCTAAAAGCTCAGGACCGCAGTCCTTATGGATATCACAGCCAAGAACAGAATTCAAATATTCAGGAACAAAGCTACGTGCAAATCAGGTTTGTTGCTTTTCTGGGCACTTAGTTTTCACAAAACATAAGAGATAGATTTCACAATTGAATTTTGTGGTTTGGTAGAAGAATCATGTGAACTCTAATGAAAGAACAGGTCTTAGAAATAGCACTACAGTTTTTCATAAGTATTAAATTTTATGGTCACTTCTCAACAAAACTTGCATTTTTGTAAAGCAGTTTTTGTGTTTGTGTTAGCACTGACAGCCTTATACCATAAGTGTTTTGTGTAGGATCATTTTAATTGAAAGTGCAAAACTTTTAGAAAGTTTCAATAAAATGAGTAACAATAAGACACATGCACTCCTAAGATCCAACGTCTAGTATTATAAAAGAATGTACAATACTGGTATTTTTCACCTGTGACTTGCTAGCTTAAAAAGTGGAGCACTGGATTACTTTACCAAGGCTGTAATGTAAGGGAGGAAGGAAAAGAAGCCCAGTGCTCTGAACCTGTGAAAAAACATTATGTGAGAGTTCCCAACACATGGTTTTTATGCAAAAACTAAGATTTTGTAGTCAGCTAAGAGCAATAAATAAGCGACCAGGGACCAGTCCTGCTATATGACTTGCTAAGAGTGGTCTGTGCAGTTTAAATTTGTTGTAATGTACATTGATAATGTTGAAATATCAGAAAAATATATAGTTAAACTGGATAGAAAAATTGATTTCTACTTAGCATAATTTTCAATCATTGTCAATAATGTCCTTACACAAAACAAGTGATGTTTTTCTGTTGTTTTGATTTATTTTTTCATTTGTTTAATTACCATTATACAGAATCAAGAGAAAGAACAAGAAATCCTTACCATGAAACAGCACATTCAAATCCTCCAACAAGAACATCTAGCCAAGATTTCCCATATTGCTGAACTGGAGGCGCAGCTACAATACCTCAAGGTAATCACTTGAAGTGTACTCCAACCTGTTGTCTAGACTTTTTACCGTTGGTCAGTGAATTTGTCCATCTGATTTCCTCTCAAAATAATCCTTAATTCTTGCTAATTAACCCATGTTCTCCTGGAAATTTTGCCGAAAAATGCTGTTTGTAGCTAGTCAGACCATCTGTGGTTAGTCTGGTCGCTTTACAGCCAAAACAAACCCAGAATGCTCAAAATACTGTTTATAAGTCAAGCACTTCCACCTTGCAGCCGTTTTTTTTTTTCTGATGCTAAATATCAGCTTCTGAAGTTCAGGCATGTCCAGAAAGCAAAATTTTGTAATAGTTTTGGTGTTTATTAATGACACAGCAGTACTGACTTTAGACTGTACAACCTTTTGAGTATTTAAAATTGAGATATCTTTTAGTGATTGAGGAATCATGTGAGCACCAAAGGGCAAGCTACTAGGGGGAGTCTGGGGGGTATTCTCCCCCAGAAAATTCTGAAATCTTGATCCTCTTAAATGCCATTTATACTGTTCTGAGAGGACAACTTTGATTGTCATTTTTATGTTTATTTTTATTTGCATGGCTTACATGAACAAGTACTCGATTTTATTATATTTTGTGCATTTTTTAGAGTTTTCTGCTTATCAGTTTCTGGGTAAGTATATTCGGAAATACAGATGTATCATAACAGATGTCAAAAATGGGATTTGTCCCATCTCGATCACATGTTGGTCAGGATTCAGGACTTCCAAGCAAAATTGTGAGAATTCCGACGTAATCAAATTGGGATGGTTGGACAGTCTGCAGCTTTCTCTTCTCTGCTTCTTTTGTTTTTCTTATCCTCCTTTTTTTGTTGCCTGGCATTTACTAAGGCTTTATTTTGGTGGGAAACCTTTTTGAGAAAACTTTTACTCGGATTGTACACTTGTACAGAATAAAGTGGGGGTGGGTAGCAGGACAAGATTTTCATTGGAATTTTTTGGGTCAACTTTATGGTTCTTTGCCTTTTTCTTTAGGAAGGAGAAATATACAGACTACAGCACCAAGTGCAGAAATTAGAAACTGAAAATCTGAAAAAGGATGTAAAAGTTCTTCAACTTGAGAAGCAGTTACAAGCAGCTCTATTCTCAAGAACACAGGTAAGCACAGACATTTTGGTAATCAGACCTTCCAACTCTCACTATCCAAATCTCATGGTAAATCAGAAAATCTTGAAATTGCCAGACAATTCCATTAGGAATTGCCTAATTCCAAAACATTTGTCTTCATAATGGACAAAATATTAATAATGTATCAATCTAAGTTTGGGGGGAATTCTGGGTCTAATCCCAACCTCATTCCCATGCAACTTGAATTAGCAAACTTAAAATGGCTACTCCCCATCCTATCGACGTGGATAGTGAAACAGAATCTCAAACTGACTCAGAGACTTTGGAACCTCAGCTTCTAAAGAAAAAAAAAAACCAGCGGCTGGCCGCAGCCAAATATCACAAAACATTTAAAAGTAATAACTTGGAGTAAATTGTATCTAATAGGGTAAAGAATACCATATGACAAAAACAATATCCCTTTTTGGTTTTATTTGACACCTATTTTAGAAATCTCCAGGTTTGAGGTCCCAATCTCCAGACTTTTGGGGGCTTTTTTCAAACACTCCAGATTGGCATGGTTTAGGGGTTGGAAAGTCTGGGTAATACATGATACCACAAAATTAATTTATTTTTGTCTGTTGTCTGCGTCAGTAAGCTGATTAGTTGTTGCAATTGACAGTCAAACTTCTACTTATAAACACCTGGGTGTAAACAATTAGGCCATTTACGGTACACATGTACAATTTTGTGACAAGAGCCCAGTTTTGACAGCGATTTTTATACTGCTCCTACACTACAGAGTTGGACAAGCTCTTCCTGTAAACTTATAATTTGCTCCAGTCATGTCCAATACTGCTGCACTGTTCCTGACCAAGAGCAGTTGACAGATTGTAGGCTCTTTACAAACCGTCAATGTTGCTAGCACACATACAAAGCATGCATCTCATTATTACATCAGGGCACAGTGTGTTACGGTTCATATCATCTGTACAGTTTGTACACTTGATTGATACAGATCATAAATTCCTTGTTTTATAAGCCATAAACCATAACAAGTGGGCTCCAAAAGTAATATTCCTTGTTCTATAAGCCATAAACCAAAACAGGTGCGTTTCAAATGTAATATCCCTACTGTTGTTGTTGTTGTTTGGTTTTGTAGCAATCCTCCAGCCCAGTGACCGTACTTGTACCACAACCTGGGTGCGAAGCTGTCCCTTCACATCCAGCCATAAGTAAACATAATGAAGTGGAAACATCACGTGTGGAAGGCGAAGAGAAAGATGAAAATGACGCGGAGGAAAATAATGAATTGGAGGAAAAACAAGCAGACAAAGATGATGACAATGGTGATGATGAGATGCAAAGCACAGAAGAAGTTTAACTTACGTGCATTTTTTGAATTTTTTATTTGTTGTGGTTCAATTTTATCTTTGGTTTAACTTTTATTTTTCTTTGCTATTGGGTATGGTAATGTGTGATAATGAGTTGAAAACAAAGGAAAATAACATTTAAATCAATAATAAAATTCACCACAACATATATTTTTTGCAGCTCTTAGGAACAGGTTGTATGTTGTTTTTTATGAAGTGACCGTACTTTTAATTTACTTGTACAGTGTGATATTGTAAGTTTAACAGACTGAAGAGCAAAGTGGCAAACAGATTCCTACACTCTCTTCTGTTCATTTCTTAAGCTGTTTAATAAGGAGAATTTCATCGAACGTTCAAGGCTTTGTATCTCTGGGGGTCATTTGCTTTTCACGGGATGTATGTCTGATTCTACAACAGTGACATTTCTGGGAAAATTAGACACAGGCCATTGTGACTAGGTACTACACTATAAACAACACAAATCAAACTTGTTTTAGTGTTCTTATTTGAACCTGGCAAAGGCCAGCAGTTAAGCATTACAACAGAAAGATAAGAAGTGCCTGTTGGCCAAGTGTATTCCATTTTCATTTGTTACTGTTGTAAAAAGAAATGAAACAGTTGATGGAATAGTTATGTGTATTTTAAATTGATAAGATTTTACTGTGGAACCCTTTACATTTTTAACTAAAGTAGAAAATTAATGAAGTTGATATATTATGCTAAGCCATACCTGTTCTGCCGCATTCATTGTGTAGTTCCAGAAAATCTCTTTACTCAATGCCCCCCCCCCCTCCACCCCCCACTGGGGGGTTGGAAATTGTTGGGGAGAAGGGGTCTTGGGGACCATAAAAAAATAAAAGAAATGTATAAAGCTTATAAACTAGAATCTCCACGGGGTAGGGGGTATTAGAAAAATTTATTCCAATCCTTGGGGAGGATTAGTTACTTTTTGGAACTACACCTAAACTAAACTCTTACTGGCAAATTATAACAAACAAAATAACCGTCAGCAGTCATTGAAAACTGCATCATTAGTGCATAACTTTGTTCTAGAATGTTTGTCTGAAGTTTCTCGTACCAAAAGTGGTTTTGGTTAGTGATCACAACTGGCCTGCTTTTAGCCAGTTTTGTTTTTCTCTGACATGAGAAATCCTGCTTAGCTACTTGTGTTTGTAACCTGGCCTGTGGCTTTACTATTTCATTTTTTAGAAAAACTTTTTTCCTGGCTTTTACATGGATTGTCAGCAACGTCATTCATATGCATGTTGGTATATTGTTTTGGAATATGTTGTATTACTTTATTTGTTTAATGCATAAAATGCTATGTTCAAACTAGACATCATAGTAAAAACGCCATACCAGGAAACAGCTAAATCAAAACAGGTTGCTTTGGTGATTGTTCATTGGGCATTTGTAACAATGCAATGATTTACTTGAGTGACCACTGAACAATGGCTTCCCAATACGCAATTCCCAATGCCCAAAGAAACCTTTATTTGTATCAGCTATATAAAATATTTCATTCTTCAGTATTCCAATCTTTCACTTAACCTTCTTTCAGATGGAGGATGATAAAAGCCCTCTTGATCATAGAGAAAAAAAACTTTTTCTTTAATCTTCTGACTCTTGTGTTTTGAATAATAATATAAGAATTCTTGTCTAACATGTTGTAGGTCATGGTTTTTATTATCTTGTCTACCTCAGATGCAACCGACATTGTTTATTTCCTAAATAATAAGGTCGTGATGTTTTTTAGGAAGAGGGAAAAGTCATTGCCCACAGGGTAAGTAATAATTTATCATTCAAGGAGAAAGCAGAAGAAAAACCCCCTCAGCTCTTCCCAAGAGCCTAACCCTCACAGATTTTTCCCCAGCAAGGAGCCTGCTCCCAGGCTATTGCATTATAAGGGACCTTAAATAACAACAATGGCAACGTCAAGGAGAACAGCAAAAAAGCAATAGGTTTGATATTAAGCAAAACAACTTTCACATGTTTCACACTTTTTTGTACATTTCTTTTCTGTCACTGCATGACTCTGACTCTGCCCAATTTCATGTTTTGTGCAGGACATGAACACAAGATGACTTCCTTTTTCTTTTCCTGAACTTCGAAACACTGAGTCTTTTAGAATTCAATATGGAATAAAAGCAAAGAAGTTTGAAGTAACGCAAATTCACTTTGTAGGTCATGTTTTCGTCGCCGTTGCCATCGTCGTTGCTTAAGCTCCGTATTTACTTTATAAAGGAGGTTGTACAAAGAAATGATCAATTATTTGTTTTTAAGTAATATGATTGTACATGCATGTAACTCACATTTTAGTAGTTTTATTAAATATTATTATTTCAAAGATGAGTGGTGTTGATTTTCAGGCTACTGTTTATTTTCCCTCCTGTTTATCTGTGTTAGATTCTAGTAGTATCAGGCACATAGCTGGAGTTTTAGAAGGGGTGTTTGTAATGAAACTGAAAACCAAATGCAGACCGAGCACTGTCAGGAAGAAAAGGGAAAACTTGGAGGCAAAAACACAAGTATTTCAGAACATGTTTCATTTCAAGGCTCGAACTGAAGAAAATGCTATTCTGCTTGTGCGAATAAAGAACTCATATCTGACTGTCCTTTTCTCATGTGTGTTTTCTCTGTTCCTTCCAATGAAATGATATCTCTATGACAGCGAAGAAAAAAAAAGAACAAACCCAGAGCAAATTAAGTAAGGAATGAAAAGAATGCTAGAAATTTTTCCGAGACTTTGTTAAAGGTACACTCTCTATGCGTCCAGTCATGCCTATTCATAAGCAAAACTTTACGACTCCAGCATCCTTGGGTGGAGACTTCCAAAATAATAAATAATTAACAGTTTAGCAGTCTTCCGAATTTTCCCAGGGTTATTTTCCATTACCTCAATATTTATGTCTCAACTGGGGTTTGTCCAAACCCCTCGAACCCCCTCCCTCCCCCCCAAGCCCTTCCCACACGCCCGAGTAGACAGTCTCAGTTCGCCATGTCATTAGACTACATGTTCAAGTACCAATGAGGGCACTATGAACTTTTGACTGGGGGGTACAGCTATGACCCTTGGAACACTTATGAACCTTTCTCAGGTTTAATAGCACGTGAACTTTGGGGCAGAAGACTGTGAAAAGAGACTAAATACCACTGTAGGTTCCAGATTCTAATCTTCAGTGTTGTTGTCACTAGGGTTACCCTCCTTTCGAGTAAAAAGGCCTGTAGAATGCTAGTACCTGTTTAATACTGCAGGATGTCTGCTTAAAAAAGTGTCCTTCACTGTAAAAAGAAAAAGTCAAGGTGTGCCACCACAACAATTTCCGAAAAAAAAAAACACTTCATTCATGACCGTTGTGTCTGAAACGATTGAGCTCTGTAAATATAACTGGTTTTTAATATTCTCTCTTCAACAACACTGACCTCCACCAAATCTTTAACAATACCGTCATAAGTTGACTTAACTGAGGAAAGCTCATTGATGTATCTAATGAAATGCTCTATTGATTTAATGAAACAACCAGTTAGATTTCACAAGTTTATTTAGTTCCCTTGATTCCTCGAGGCTTTGATGATATTCCTGCCACCAAATATCTCTCTCTCCTGAAACAGCTGAATTGGAGGAAAACAGAAAATTGTATTTTTCTGGCCTTGGGCAACCATAATGCTCCTGTGAAGCAACAAATTGATGTTCTGTAAGTTGTGATGCCTTGCGCTTGATATTTTCATGAATTCTATCACAAACAAAACACTCAAATCCTGTAACATAATTTTGTTCCTCAAAGGAATGCCCCCACGGGCGTTTTCTCATAGTGCTTAAAAGTCTTTTATTGATAACACCCTTCTCCTTAAATTCTAAGTATTTTGAATATTCTTCATCATTATTATCAAGCCTTTTGATAAAATCAGCTAAATCCTTTGGATTTTGAAAGTCATCAACAAGTATTATAGAATGATCATTTGGCATCCATTCTTGAACAGTTGGCGATCCTTTGTAAATGGGCACAGACCCTAGTATAAGTGGTCTCCAAAGCTTCTCAGTAATATAGTCTTCACATAATGCATTCTCAAATGACAATGTGAATTTATATTTTGCAATGATGTCCTGAAAACCTTCATTATCCATAGTTAAAGGATTCTTGAACTCTTCTGGAAGGTCTTTATTATGCAAGCAAGCTCCATAGGAATCTACTTTGATAAACTTCATCAACTCTGAAACATATTCATCTCTGTCTGAGGGCGGGTTACACCCACTTTGAACATACACCACTGATGCCAGACCGCTTGTGCTCTTCTCATGAATGCTGTATTTGGGTTTTTTCAAAAGCTCATCTAAAGATGAAAGCATTTGAGTAACCAAAGGATAATCGGAAAATCTGCGGAAGGTAGCAGTATGGTTGAACAGTTCTATTGTTGTTTGATGGTGAAGAATTGGGTTATTCTTAGGTGATTCTTCATGGAACAAAGCCCATTCATGGTGTCCTGTTCATAAAAGAAAAACATACCAATGTCAAATTTAATGCTGTTTATACAGGAACTTAAATCATCACTAGCCATTTACTTGATTTGCATGAAGCTTTTCTTTTAAGATATCTGCATAATAATCAAGCATGCACAAATGCCATCTAATTAATTCAAACTTCAACTCTTTTGACAACTTTGACACTTAACAGTTTTCATTTGTAATAATGATGTGCCAAACATCAAAATGTTGGATACTGTTCCACAGTTTAATTTTTGTTGTTAACACCATTGTCAGTTAAAAAAAGTTACAGTCAAACTGGTCAGCTATAAGAGGAAACTTTGGAACCAAAAAAGGTGTCCACATACGACAGGTGTCTGCCTAAATCATAGCAGAAATATCCATAAGTCAAGATGGTTTTTACTTGACTGCATCTTCAAAATTACCCCATGTGCCAGTGGTAATTTTATTGGTCCCTGATGTATAAAAAGTACCAAAGATGCAAAATAATTCATGGCATGCATCCCATGGGATGCAAAGTTCAATCAATCGATCTGAAGATGTTTTTGTAGAATATCCTGTTCATGTTTAGTGATGGTTTGAGTTCCTTGGGAAGCAAGGGATGGTGCAATGGTGAGAGCACTCGCTTCCCACCATTGTGGCCCACATTCAAATCCTGGCGTCAGCGCCATATGTGGGTTGAGTTTGTTGTTGGTTCTCTCCTTTGCTCCGAGAGGTTTTTCCCTGGGTACTCCGGTTTTCCCCTTTTCTCAAAAAGCAACATTTCCAAATTCCAAATTCCAATTCAACCATTTATTTTATTATGTGATTTCTGTGGCTGTTGTTTAACGAGGTATATTTCATTTAGTCTTTGTTGTGCTTTATGATAAAAGGAGTTTTTTTAATCCAGTAAACAGAGTTTTGGAATCTGTCTTCAGATTATTGTCAGCATGGATACACTAAGGCCCAAATAAATTCAGTTTAATAGGATTCACTGTTTTTTGAACTGGGACACAATGGTTCTGGGTTGAGACTCCAATTTTTTGGCAAGATGAGTCCAAGGACTCACCATAACTATTTGTTCTCTCCATTTTCCTGTTCGCTTTTATGAATCTAAGGTTTCTATCTACCTTGAAAGCAACAGTTTGGGACTTGTTCAAAAAAGGGGGTAAAAAAATTGTTATACTGTGGCTCTTCATCATTTTGTAATTCTACTTCATCTAAGTATGGATCTGTATGACATTAACATTTGAAAGGTTGAAACTGATTAATAAAGATCTTTCTTTCTCAACATCAGAAAAGTGGGATTTAAAACAACTTACCAAGTCTTGGAAGAGGTAAGTCATTTGATGTAAAAGTTGTGCCATAGAACATAAAAGCCTTGGTCCTGGGATGTGTCTGGAATTTACGAGCCTCTGTGATGTAACACTCACCAAGTGTACACTTCTTTATTGAATTTCCACCAGTAAAGGCAGTCCACCAAATGATTATGGGTAATTTGTGTTTTGCAGCATAGGCAGCTGGTTTTTTAAGGTTCTTCAAAGCATGGTCAACATCATCATAAAAGACTCCTTCTGAAAAAGAAAGAAAGAAATAATGTGGATTGATCTATTTTCCCGTTCATGTAGGTCAAGTTTCTCTATGGTAAAAGCACTTGCCAGTGATATAAACTTTAGGTGAGCTTCACTGCTTGACAACTTGATCACAATAATCCTCTCTCCAATCCAGGTACATTTCCTGGTGGAATTGTGGTGAGGTTGGGGGTAGGCGACATCTTTGGGCACCAATGCAACTACAGTTTTTACCTTCAAACTTCCAGAGTATCTTTTAGATGTACCCCTTGTTCACTTTGCATCCCAAGACAAAGCCCTCCTAGCACAAATCCTAGATCTGACCCTGCTTTTTATTCCATATAGAAAGTCAGTGGGAGCTGGCAGGGTTGTCAGAAAGTTTTGAAGTAGACAGCTGAGTTATCAAATTAAGCAGCCAGTCCAGGGATATTTTATTTATCAAATGCCATCCATAAAAAAATGCCAAGCAGAGTAGCCGGCCGATACTAACTAAGTAGGCGGCGATTTTCACCGGCAGCCGGCTACTTTTGACAATCCTGGCTGGGAGTCTGGTACTGGTACCAGAATATTGCAGTGACTGTTCAAATCTCCAGGGTTGTTGCCTTTTCCATGAGTTGAACACATTGAAAGTATCCCTAACTCCATTCCACCAGGCAACATAGGCAAAACTACTTGTAAAAATTCCCACCATGCATGTCCTACAAGGGCTGACTTTACCTGACTGGATGATGGTAACACAAGATTCAAACCAATGATTCCAAAGGTATTTAAACAGCTTCCTTCAATGACATCTTTAGAAATGAGCAAATGCGTTCACCTCAAAACCTAAAATAATAATTATTGGGGACTCTTGCTACACCCGCAGTATAAACATCATGTTTGGAGTTTCCCTTTCCCACCTTGTCCAAGAAATCTTGGGCACCCTCTATGGGAGGGTGGAAGTGATCTCCTCGCATGAAAGGCTTGGTGCGAAAACAGTGGCGGATCCAGGGGGAGGGTCCGGGGGGTCTGGTCCCCCCTATCAGACCTGACGCTTGTTTGAGACTGAAATTCTTACATCGACAGGATTGTATATCACTTTTTAACTGGCTGATTTTTTTAAATGAAACAAGTGTTGCATTTTGCCACTATACTAAATTCCAGGGATATTCAAAAATGTTATTGTTTTGGGTACCCCCCTATGATCTGTACGCCTCTGCTCGCAAAGCAGTATTTCCCGCGCCAATGGCGGTAAGGGGCCGGGGAATTATAATGTACAACCAAACTGGTGAGAGGGGGTGTGGGGGGTGTGGGGGAGAAGTAATTTGCCACAAAAAAGCTCAACAGTCCTTTCTGAACCAAAGTTTGCCCAACCCCCCCCCCCCGCCCCCCCATCAAAACATTCTAGGTCCCACCCCGCAAACCTTCCCCTCACCCCCCCACGTGCCCACAAGACCTGCAGTCACCCTCACCACCCACCACCATCTCAACCCACCACACCCACCCAAAACACCCCCCTCCAATACTCATGCCCATC